ACTTGGACAGCGCGAAGAAAGACGCCGAAAGCGCCGGAGACAGCCTGGTGCGGCGTTTTCTAAAATCAAGCAGCGATAAAAGACAGGATGACATGCCAGGGATATGGGGACGATCCATCGAATCTAAAGATGGCGACGAAATGCACGCACAACTCGTGAAACTGGATCAGTCGGAAGAAAACGAAGAACGACGAGACGAGGGCGCTGAACCACAACCTCCGGGGCTCTGGGGACGAGAATTTGAAAATAAACTCCCTAAACCAGCCGGAGTATGGGAACGGGGAATTGAAAACAAACAACCACCAGGACTTTGGGGACGAGACATTCAAAATAAACTCCCTAAACCCGCGGGAGTATGGGAACGGGGAATTGAAGACAAACAACCGCCAGGACTCTGGGGACGAGAAATTGAAAATGGACCAAATGGACTCTGGGGACAAGATGCTCAAAACGGACCGCCCGGACTCTGGGGACGAGAACCTCAGCCGCCAGGGCTCTGGGGACGAGAAATTGAAAATCAACCTCCAGGACGGGCACTTTGGGGACGAGGAATGTCCAGAGCAGAAAGCTGGGACGATGTTGACGACAAAGATGAAGTTATTCACGACGATAAATGATAAGGCACGCAAATGGATAAAAAAGTCGAATCAAGGGTAACAACATAGAACGGACTTTCTAATTTTGTTTCGTTCAGAGAAAAAAAAAGAAGTAAAATATTAATCAAATAGAGGTTGTGCTGAAAGCTAAATCAAGAATAAACATCCCTGCAAATATAATTAGTGGTAATAAACCGTTATTATTTATTTATTTATTTATTTTACTTTATTTTATTTTATTTTATTATTATTACCATTATTAACAGGAGCGTGGCATTTGGTTAACATCATTTTCTCATTTTACAGTATCTGTAGAATCGAACGTAGTGTTAAGCCCTGTTCTATGTTATAGAAAATCCCAGATTTATGCCTACTGGGCATAAATTGTACAAATTTCAATTTAAGAACAAATAAACAACGACTTGTAAACGTGTTTATGGATCTTCTGGTTATTTATTTTTTTATTTGTCTGTTTTTTCTCTGGGGGGAGGGGGGGGGATTTGAGGTTCTGTTAGACTGTGGAAGGGGAGAGGGTCTCAATGAAGTTAAGCTTTTGTTCAAAAGGGGCAAAAAAGTTGGCCGTTAGGCGTAAAAACCATGATCCGTAAAATGTATTTTACTTAAAAAAAATTTTTTTTGAAAAATAGCTAGGAAAGTGAAAGTCTCAAGATTTAATGTCAATACTTTTTTTGTCTTTTTTTTGGGACGTTTAAGCCATATTAGTCTGCAAATCTTAAGCTTATTGTAATACCTTCTTCCGTCCTGGAATGGTCCTAAGACCTTTATTGTGTTTTACAGTAATCAAAATAAATTTTTAACTTTTTTTAATTGACTAAAATTATTTGGCAACTTAGTAAAACAATGGAAATTGATTTTTAAAATTTATGTTTACCATAAAGAAAATAAATCATCCGTTAGCCGTAAAAAAACCATAATATTTTAAAACCGTTAGCCGTTAAGTTAGCCATAAGCCACCACCCCACATGAGACCTTCTCGGGGCACGTAAAATATTTAAAGTGTGGTAAAAAAAAAACCTCATGATTTCGTGTAATGCGTTCATAAATCTTCATACCCGCCCTCTGTTGCCGATGACGTGATTAATTCGACATACTGAGCTAAACTGACACACTGACAAGCTACCAGAACCAAATATGATACTTACACAAACATGTTAACTTTCTATGGAAATGTCTTGTCGCAAAGAATCCACAAAAGTTTGATTCAAAACTTGACATGTGCATTGACCCGCAAGTTGACAGATCTGCAAAAGCCGAGCTCAGAAAGCGAAAATATTTCTGCAGCACTCAAAACTAGAGTGCGAAGAGCGCGAGGTAGATGAGCTCGAAACTCCCCTTCCCCCTCGGGGGAGAACTCCCATATATAAAGGACGGGGGCTGCTCGTCGTGCGTTTTAGGTGTTCAGCCTCAAAAGGTCCACAGCGGTACCTTTTAGAGTATTGAGCCGAAAAAATATGACAGGAGCCGAGTAATGTGTTGTTTTAGAATTGGTACCTCTTAGAGGTGAAAGACAATTCCTCAAGCCACGCCCATAAAACAGGATCTTGGTACCTCTTAGGGGTGCTTTTTAAAATTTCCGGCGAGCACCCCCCGGTCCTTTTAATATGGGAATCTCCCCCCAGGGGCGCGATCGAACGACTTCGAGAAAGTCTAGCTTCCTGACATGTTACATAGGTTGCGAAAAAATGTCAAAATGTGAAGTGCACGATTTCAAAAAATGTTGGCCATTGAAACATCATTTCACCAAAAGCCGCTTAACAATGTCAGTCTTTCCTCATTAAACTCAAACCAGTGACCACTTTCCTCCCAAAAAAATGGCACACTGGTAAGTGGTTTCAGCCATTTCGTACGTGGTTGGCGTGAGAGAGGATATCTGCGGAACGCTTTCCTTAAATAAGTCACGAACTTAATCACGAATCGGGCTAGCCAAACCAATAGCGTTTGACCCAATGAGCCTGTTATGGTGAGTTAATCTGTTTTGACAGCATGCAGGCTGCTTGGGCTTTACGCCAAAGACTGACTTTGTTCATTAACCGTCTAGCCTGTGAACAGGATCTTCTCGACTCGTAGGCTATTGACTGTGGAATTCGTCGCACCTCGAGTCTTATCGCACCGACAAAGACCTGCCTATGTTTATTCATGATTTGCTTCAAAGTCTGTATAAATATCGATTGTGAACGGATTAAGACTTCACTTGACGCACGAAGGACCGGTCGAAGCCTTTGAACTCTTAGAATATCGAGCTAAGGTAAGATCATACTTTTGTCTGATGTTTCGCAACGCAGAGGGGATAACGCACGAAATATTGTTTATTTGAGAAATCAAAATCAGAAATATTTAGGTATGCTTGATTGAATCGTGTTATGCACTTTGCAATAATACAGTCTCAAAACAAAACTAATTTATTTCTTTGGCTACTTTTATCACTGAGAATAAAATTAAGATTATAGTTAAGAGAAGAAAAGGCCTACGCAATTGAAATAAAATTTAAAGTTATTTTTTCCCCGCAAAGAATAGGTTTAATATTTCAACCCGGCAAAAATTTTCTATCAGTCATCATATTTTCCTAAGACGAAAATGTCTGCCACCGTTGAAACATCTGTTAATTAAAAACAGTAACGAGCTATCGTCAAATGAAATACGTGTGAATTATTGGTCTTTATTTCCAACGACGATTTTAAATCCAATCTTTTAAACATTGCAATCAGAACCAAACGAGTTTTCTAATACCATTCTGATTAAGTTAAAGCGCTAATAGGGAGCGAACAACTTCAAAACACGACACCTTATTTTTCAAATTTCACTGTCGATAGCATTTAATTTCGTAAGCAGAAATAACAGAAATGAGTTGCACTCCGCTGTGGCAAGATCTATTACTGATAGTTGAACATTAGGCACTTGTGGTTTGTTTTGGTTCGTTTTGAGCAAATACAAATTTGATCAAGAAGGAAAACCCTGGGTGACCGCATTAATTTATAAAAACTTCCAAAAACAGAGAGTTTGCGTCTTAATTTTCACTAGGTAACCCAAATTCATCCGATTTTGTTTATAACTGACTGCGGATGCACAACTAGCCTTACTCAGCTCATCGGCCAAAGAATGAATAATTTATTTCCACTTCTTTATCTCCTTGTCGCATATAGCACGTTTTTCCAGACGTTTTTGGCCTCTAGATCTACAGAGAAACAGAATACAGAAAAACACATCAAAAATTATTAATATTAATATTATCATAATTAATTTTTTTTCGACTTAAAAGCAAAATATGTCTTGCTGCGTTCTCAGTCTGGTACTCAAGGTACTCTTGCTGGGATCCCCGTGAGATGTTTGGGCAAAAGCCGTCGGAGATAGTTCAAAAATATTGATCAACATAATTTGACGCAAACGATAACTGATTTAGTAAGTTCACGCGTAAACGTGAGCAACAAAAAGAAGTTAACTAAATACGGTAAGTTTCGCCAGGCTTGGGCAAAACACTAAAATTGCGAGGGCATAGATAGCAATTTTCTTATTATCGAAAGAACAGTTATTCATGAGGGCGGAGACCAAAAAACGCCTGGAGACAATATGTGCTATTAGTAGTTCGGATTAATTTAAGAAAATAGGTTACTACGGCTAAAACAAAATATCTTAGTGAGGTGAAAATTTCAGTAATCATCAATAAAAAAACACTGACGAATCCTAACAAACTGTTTTATAGCATAAGTTGATTGGGTTTTGGTACAGAGAGCGGTTTTTTAATTGAGTGTCGTAAAACCAAAACCAATCAAAACTCGAACAAAATTAAAAACGCATGTAGCTGACTCGAAGGGAGGAAAACGTGTCCGAGCGAGTCACGACAGTTTTTGGTTTTACTTCTGATTGGATAAAAAGTGGCACGAGTTCTTTTCTTTTTAGCCAATCGTGTAGCGTAGTTATGCAAAATCAATTAGTAGCTGACACTCAAATGAAAACCGCTATTTGAGGGCGTAATATGTAAATGGGGAATGATTGCACGATCTGTGATTATCTGCGGGATCGCAAGACGTCCTTTATGCAGTGTAGGCGTGGCACAGAATCATTCCAAGCGAATGAGTCTCATTGTTATACCTTCCAACTCAAATACGTTTTCCGATTGGAGGAGAACGTGTCACGTGTCGTGGGTCAAACCTGGGACGAACAAAACTCTTTAACTCCCTAAGAAAACGAAAACTTGAACTTTCGACTCACACGTGATCAGGTCGTGCTCCTTGAAACCGCAGCAATTTTTTTTTTCTATTTTTGAGTTGGGCGGTATAACAAAGCGCTTTGTGACTGGTTCCGCGGGAAGCAGTTTCGCCTCGGGGAACATTGAGGGTCTCGGGGAAATAAATCTCACTGTTTCCCTTGGGGCCAGTCATTAAGTGCTTATTCCAGTTAGTCTTCAAAAAGTGTATAAGGCCATATTAACTTTTCATTGTTAGCATAATTGTCTTCAGAGCACAAAATAAATGTTAATAGCTGTAATAGTCAAAGAAAATTCTATTTCAAGACTAAAGGTTTTTCTTCCACTTGTCTTTAAATTCAATGCCTATCATTTCGTACACTAAAAAGTAGTATTTTTAATCTAGTTTGCTAAGCGAGGGGTATTGCCTGAAAAAAAAAAGCT